GGGCCCCCCCCCCCCCCCCCGTTACAATTTTTTATTGGACATCAAAAGTACAGCAGAACATTGACTGGTTTTTAGATATTAATAGTTTTGTCTTTTCAAGTCCTTGAAATCTTCATGCCTTGTTACGACACCAAAAAAAGTTTACCATCAAAATAGGATTAGGTAATGGCATTGCCTATAATAGTTAAATTCCAAAACCTGAAAACAAAGTAATGAATTAAAAATTGTTGGCTTGGCTGTACATAAACAGAGTAAATCCAAACACTTGGTACAAACCATTTCTAAATTTTCCTTAGTGATTGCTTTAAGTTTTTCCTCCATGCGTTGCAACGACTGCATGAGTTCATCATTTCTTTTGGAGAGGCACTTATTTCTTTCCAGAAGAGGTTTGCATTGTTTTTCAGCTTCTCGAACACGTTTCAACTGCAATCAAAATACTAATTAATTAACTAACTAGATAGATAGATTAATACATATATACATACACTAACACATCCACTCTGATTGACAAAAAATTATATATTTTGTGGTGTGGAGATGTTTAAAATATTGTTTCTTGAACAAGCTATAAGGCTGATTCATATATCATACTAACTCCAAAACAAACTGCAGCATGGCTTAGAATAATGTATGAATCAGACCTGTAGGATACAGTTTGAGGGATGGAGTTTCAAGCACTGATGTCCTTTTAAGATGTCATCTGCAGATCTTAAAATAGTAATAATAATGATGATGATGATGTATCATTTCAATCTACAAAACATGTTTGATCAGAGTTAAAAATATTGATGAGTACATTATGGCGAGAGATGCTTTCTTTAAACCACCTCCAACTTTCTTACACTTATTTGCCTGGAATGTTGTTTAAGTATCTATAACCAAAAAATAAATTTAACGTAAGAACCCAATCTAACTGCTGCTCATAACATTGAATGAGAGACTATGTTATGACTTGTTTCTTATCATTCTTCTAAGAAGAGAAGGAACGGTTGCTATTCAGTCACTGTACCTATAGCTTGGTACTGAAATCTGTATAATGCACAGTGCTGGAAAAATTCTCATGTGAAATCAAGAAGAGGGGCTATCAGTCAGTAACTGATTTTACACACTGAACTAACCATTATTTATTAAATAATTCAGAATTGCCTGGGTTCACACAACACACTATGCTATAAAGCATGAGATATGGAAGGCAATGTTAGATTTATACAATCTCGAACTTAGTATAGTGGTTAACCCAGGTTCAGGTCCATCCATGGCCATGGAAGCTCACTGGGTAGCTTTGGATCAATCACTCTCAGCCTAATCTAGCTCAAAGAGTTGTTATTATGGTGAAAAACTGGTGGAAGAAGTGCTTTATACACCACGTTAAGCTCTTGAAGGAAAATTTACAGACAAATTTAACGAATATATAAAACAAACATGCTAAGTCAAAACTAAACAAATGACAAGATATGTTCAGAACAATCTGTTCCTCCTCCAGACCATGTCATTCCAGCCATGTGGGGGTATTCTAATAATTTTCTGGAAGTAAATCTTTCAGATGAGGGAAGTATTATATTGTGTTCTGGTTGTAGTTCCTGGAATGTACTATCTCTGAAAGGAAATGTTTCTTACATCCCTACAAATTACTGCAAAATTTGATTCAGATTTATCAGCTGTCCTGCTCCTAGCTGGAGAATTTCCATCACCTCCCACTGAAGTGATTCCCCCTGCATGCCCAACTTCTAAATGTTGCAATCCTAAAGTATGAACAAAGCCAAAGCACCTCTGCAGTTATTTATCATTTATGATTTTGTCATAGCTACCCTGGATATTTTAGATTAAATAAAAATTCAGAAACTGCTAAGTGGCCATACCAATTCATTCCGTTCATCCACAAGCAGAGTGTTCCTGTCCTCAAGTTTCCGAATGGTAGCATTGAGTTCTGCCATTCTCTTCTGGTTTCTACGTAGGTCCTACAAATATTTGTTAAAGAAAAATAATTTGACATATCTGCTATTTATAGGCCAGGGCTGAGTTCTTTGGCAGAAATTATAAATCCCAATGAAGATGAAATTGTATAGCCCACACATAGCCAATAGTAACAAATACTGACAGATATAGCTCAGCAGTGTCTGGAGGGCTACATATTGTACATCCTTGCTAGACATATTAGCATATTATTTTATGTAAACAAGATCTTAAAACAAGAATGTGAGTGTATGCTCCTAAATCAGCCAGCGGCTTTAGGCAAGCTTCTATGTCTCAGCCTCAGTGTATAATTTGATCTTCAGCAAGGGAACATTAACAACAGGCCTTATAAGTTCTTTTATAATCTTTGTTGAGTTAATGAATATGGAATGTATGGAGTGTTTTAAAGGTTCTGCATAAATGCTAATCATTTATATATTATTAATTATCAACATCACTTCATCATATCTTGTTTTGAATTAGCTACACAGGTGAATCAGAACTGAAATGCAGCCTTAGAACTACCACAAGAGGGAGTATGGTATAGCTCATGAGTGGATGCTATCATTGTAGAAAGCAGGGCAATGATGCAATAAGTGGGCTAAGTGGACCCAATCAAAATCTCAGTGTTTCTGTTTGTGATGAAATAGAACATGCTTCTTACAGGACTGCTGCAGTGTTCCGAGCCATCTCCTGCTCTGCCTGGGATCTCTCTTTTGGGACTGCTCATGTTGCATTCAGCCTCCTTAACCAAAAATAGTTGTTCATCCAAAGCTTCTTTCTGCAGCTGAAGCTTCTGAACATATCCTGTCAGGGTCTCCAGCTCTTTCTCCAAAGAAAAGATAGTTCTGTCTTTTGCTTTGATCTCATCCATCTGAATGAAGACACATGAGAGCAGTGTTATGGCATAAGTACAATAATGAATCCATGTATTTGAATACATTTTGCAAGGAATGGATCTTCATGGTTCATTTGTTATGGCAATTTCTTCTTTAAAATTACAACAGCACAAAATAGTCTGGTGCATATAAGAATAGACTTATTTAAACTTAAACACGACTTTTGAGTTATTTAGTCAGTTGTTTCCCTCTACCCCTAGCTTGTTTTAATGTAGGGCTTCATGTCTCAAATAGTGGCATGACAGACACAAACTAAACAAGCTAATCAGCATCTTGATGTTTTTTTTAAAAAATCAATTTTTAATTGTCCTTACATCGGAAACCAGTGGCAACTATAAAACCTGCAATTTCTACTGGTAAAAGACCGATAGTTAGGTGCAAAAATCACCCAATTCACCCCATGCATTTTATCTCAGGCTTGAGAAACATCCTAGTCAGTCTATATCACTCTACAAACATTCTGGTTTGACTCTGAATCTTGAGTGAAATATGAGAAACAGAACTTTGTTCTGCCATAGATGAAACCTAGAGAAAATCTTATCTACAGGTTTTCTTCCTGTCATGCAGCTGTACAGTACTGTCAAGAAAAATGAGGGCAGCCCTTATGGCAGTTCTAGACGTGAGATCCTCAGATCTATGAAATTGGTGAATTCCTCAGCAGTTTGTTTTTCTTTTTTGGTAAAGCCAAAACCAGTGCTGACTGTGTGATGTAAGTACACAATGTTGGCTAGCAGAAGCCAAGTTCTTCCAACTAAGACAGCAATCATACAGTATGAAGATCATGGTGCTATTTAGCAAGAATGGGAGCTTCATGTTGAGTTTTCCATAAAGTATAACATAGAAGAAGAGTTTGGAAAATACAGAAGGAATACAACTTGAAGATATCATTCAGAGATTGTTTATTAAACAAATAGATTAATCTTGTTCTGCTTCATTGAATGGTAGCTATTCTGATTTACCATGAATGATACAGGTCTATACATTTTGTTAACTGGACCTCCCTCAAACTTTCCAGAAGAGCCAAAAATCAAGAACCTTTGTCATTTTTATCAACTCTGATCCATTCCTGCTAATGGTGCTGGCACATTCAGTTCAGACTGGCACCACCCTGCAATTAGATATTAGATATGACTGGTTACCACAAACAGCAGAAGCATCCCAGGAATACCATCTCTCTGCCACTCCCATGGCAGCTTCTGCCTCAAGCTGCCATTCCCATTCTCTCCTGCACATCCTATCCCTAATGGGAGCAGCACAAGGGTTTATTCTCTAGCCAACACATGCACCATAGATGCTGCTATAAGAAGGTCCTCAGAGTGATGCATTCTGAGGTTCTTGCATTAGCCTTTGCTCTAAGGACCTCCTCAGGGTGATGCCCACAGAGGGGCTGGCCAGGCTCACCAGCTGCCCAGAAATCTCCTAGCCTTATGCTTAAGCTGTTTGTGGGCCAGCAGGAGAGTGGATTAGGACCCTCCAGGGCTACCATTCATTGCAGTGGCTTCATTTTGCCTAATGAAAGGGCCAGCTTTGACAGACTGGTAGTCAACATCTGAATCAATATGTGCATGATGGCCCAGAAATCCAGTGATTTGCCCAAGTTTGGCAAAATATTATGGGGAGGAAAATTATTTTCATTTGAAGAGAAGAAAGAAAGAAAGAAAGAAAGAAAGAAAGAAAGAAAGAAAGAAAGAAAGAAA